CCGCACTCCAAATATATACCGGTTTCGTGAATTATTTTGAAAATTTATATTTCATGAGTGACTCAGCCGTGGAGGCACGGCCATCACCTTCTCCAGCAGCATCACACATACACAGAACAAAGCCACTGTGTTTATTCATTCACACTCGGTAGTACAAAGTGAGGACGTTCTCGCACCATTTGACCCTTCAACTATGGCGTGAGTTGGGTAGGAGGGAAAAAAAACGTGCCTCCGGAAGTCTACGAGCAGTAGCATCAGCAGCAGCAGTATCAGAAGCAGCAAGAGGAGGATAAGAATCAATGCCACGTTACTTCCGGTCAGTGGACATCTTATCTCATGGAGGCCTTATACAAAACGCCATTTCCTCACTACACTTGCATCACTCTTGTAGCCAGGTCAAGGGGTTAAGGAGTAGAGAATGAGACGACTAACTCACGTGTACATTTGTTTGTGTGTTAAGCCACGCAATCACAACGGTCTCTACTCATAATGCCGTCGCCTCTCTCTCTCTCGCTCTCTCTCTCGGCCTCTCCCCCTGGATACAATGTGTTTATCCTAGAAACGGGGAGGCGCTTTAATATATGACTAAGGGCAAATGCAAATATCAGTCACTCACTCATTCACTCACTCAGTCATTTATCCCTTTGCTTACCCAACACCATCACCACCACCAAGTACCACGTGTGTTCAATAGGTGGAGGCACTGCACACACACACACACTTTACCTCCCTCCTTCGTCCGTTGTCCCAAACACAAATTTCCTGACCTCCGAGTAAGTTTTAGCATCAAAAGTGTAAATTGTTTTAGGCAGGAGTGAAGAGAATTGAGGTAACGCATAGCCATTAGTTTCGATGTTTACAAAGAAAATCTGAACTACAATCGTTAAAAAGTGTCACAATTGCAGTTTTGAGAAGGGTAAAGCTCTCTGCTAATGCAACACTTTAAATGTCTGTTTGACTCTCCGTTTGATGATGGGCCAATAAAAAAAGGGCTCAGTCGGGCACTTTCGTCGGTCGGTTTGGCCACCGAGCCTTGTCAATTGCCTTCCCCTGCCCCTCTCCCCTCCCCAACGCCCTTCTGTACGCAGACAATACGTGTTCCACTAGAGTATAAGGCCAACGTTCATCTCCAGGTTCGCTTCGCGGGGGGTGACTAGCCTGCTTTTCGGAACAATCAAAGGATATTTTGGTGGTAAAGCTATACAAAGACCATGCAAAGAGCCATAAAACAGAAACTCCTGCAAATGTATAAGCATAAGGGTGTGAGCAAAAGGCTTATCTGCCACCGAAATCGTAAAGGCAATTGTTCTCTACACATTGGCAAATGGATAGGTGTTTAGGTGGTAGAGGATGAAGGCAATTATTGAAATGAGGAAAAGGAACGGCTGGTGTTTGAAATGCATTTGGTCATGAGGCCAAAAAGGAATGATGGGTTTTAAAACGCTGGTTCAACAGTGCATATAGTCCACCGACAGAGACTGAGGAAATCGAGGTCTTGAGCCACATGAAGTAGTGACTTCAATCTCAACATATGCAATTTAAGACATGCATCAGCTCAAAATGTTTGCTCATCATTGACGTGCGCAGAGTGAAGACAAGATACCAGCGTAAAATTATGCGTGGTGCAATTTAGGCGGTCAAAAAACTTTGCATTCGCGTGGATTTAGTACTTGAATTCTCACTACGGATATTGTTTCCGGGTGTTGTCTTTTTGCTCTGGAATGAACAAGGAAACTTGACCTACTTCAGCGCATCGACTAAAAAGTGTAGGAACGAGAGGCGGATAAAGACAACAATGGGTTTAGTTTGCACAAGGCACCATGAAGCACGCGGTCAGAGGAGATCGGAAATCTAGAATTCGGACAGTCCTATCGAGATTGTGTTTACCTCAAATCCCACCCACCCGTCCTCCCCACCCGCCAATGCTTTAACGTGGTGTTCAATTTGCACAGTTTAATTCTTTCTTCTTTTCAGCCCCTCTCACCGATACAAGCCAGATGGGTAGAAAAGGGACATTTTGGACATGCTTGTCTTCTTATTCGCCATTGGTCGGCGGATAATGCACAAGAGGAAAACAACGACGGGGCTCCGGGGCCAACTCAACCACAGGGGCCGTCTAACCCACTTCCCCCTCCACTTCTTTAGGTCTAACAGGAGGATACAAGGAACGCGCACATTCATTTGACATACGGCATATGGAAGGACTGAGGAGGGGCGGGGGAGAAGGGAAAGGTGAGTGATAGATTTATCAGACGGTAGAATATGGGAAGACACCCCCTACATACCACTTTTTCTTCAACTGTGTATGACAAATTTACTATCATGGTCATAATAGCGGGGCCTGAAAACGGGTAATTTTAAGGGATGCGAGTGCTCTCCCATTAAACTAGGCGTGTAGTTAAGACTTTGCAGTGATCAAAAGGAAAATGTAAACTTACGATTAGATGGGGGCTGAGGTGGCGGCGTTTGCAGAAGTGCGGTGGGTGGGGGATTAGCAAGAGGAAGGGATTGACTGTGAGGTAGAACATTGAAAGTCGCCGCGCATTTCTGGAGGAACTCTGCGCCGCAAGGGAAGGATAGAAGGTTTGTGGTGTTGTTGGAGTCCGACTGGTCCACGGACGAAGTTTGCGGTGGCGGCGCCGCCGTGGCTGCAGTCGCTGCCACCGACGCTACTGCCGCATTCACGCTCAAATCGAGGGCTTCACTCATCTTCAGTGTCTTTTTCTACTTTAGGTTAAAAATCCCTGGTCCAAGAAATGTGATGAGTGTGGTAAGTCAGGACGGAGTCAGAGCATTTGATACACATTGTGGTCTTCTTTATAACAAATTTATAAGTGCGGTGACAGCCTTGTGATTGGCTAGCAACCAATGTGTAGTCGCATTCGCGTGCGCGCGTGCGTGCGCGCCAGATGCAAAGGCAGCCAATAAAGCGAGGGTCGAGGGCAGGCAGAATGGCTTAGCAGCAACTGTTGCGCAAGCGTTTGCCCTATTCCACCTCCCTCCTGCCTGCCCTGTCCCAAAGGTCATAAACGCCTCGGATACGCGTTAAAGACGGCTTCCTTATCCAGCCCCCTCCCTCAACATATGTCACTTTCCGGATGAACGATAAATAGTGACGGTGGAGCGTGGATACCATAACAAATGCCGGTTACCATGCCGTGTTCTTTTTACCTACACCTTCAAGTCATCTCTTAATACCCATCCATCAGCCACAAAATATGGATCATAACTTAGAGGTATTGCAAGTATGCATGTAAACGCATAAAGAATTATTGCATAAAAGAACCCTTCCGATTCAGCGTTACATCCTCCGCAGCATCTTCAAACATGCAAACTATTTAGTTCTTCCTACGTAAAGCAGAGTTTGCTTCAGCTCACCTTGTGAGCTCAGTTGAATAGCAATTCTCCAATGCAAACGGCTAAAGGGTCAACACCTTGAATTTTCCTTGTTAGTTTTGTTTCACATTTTAGAATTCGGGGTTGCATAAATGCTTGCAATTTTATAGACAAAAGTAAGATTATGAATTCTGTGCTCACTTCACCACCTCGTGGTGAAAGTGTGAGCTTTAGAGGAACGCATTCAACAAGTGCGCACAGCGTTTGCAGATCTAGACCTCGCACCTCTTACATTCGACCTCAAGTTATTATTTTAAAGTAATTGTAAAAAAATATTAAAGAAAGTAACCAAATTATCAATTGATAAGCACAAAACCCTTCTATAGGCTAGGGTGAACACGAAACTAGGTTTGAAATTGTCATCAGGACAGTGTCGTCAAATGGTCACCGAGTGTCCAAGTCGAGGAGTGGCATGCATCAGCAATGGAAATTAACTTACTTTACTTCACTTTTTTTGAAAGGCGTTGTGCATTTTTCCACTCAAATTACTGCTCTATTGATTGGTGGTGAATTTAAACTTGGCCTCGTCCAATTTTTCGGACGGCTTTATAACTAGCATTTGGACAAAAAAAAGTGAGAGGCAAAAGTGGCCAATCGTCGAAAAGGTGCACACGTTGCGAGCCCCGATGATGCATTTCAAAAAGTTTATGAGGACTCAGCCCTACTGCTAGGGTCTTGGTGGTGTGGGAATCCATTCTCCATGAGTGAGTGGAACGGACACAGTGCAAATTCACACAGCAGTGGTTGAGATTAATAGGCGTCTGTGAAGAGAGAAAGTGAGAGACTGCTCACTGTGTGTGCGTAACAAGGAGCTATCCACATCTTTATGCGTATTCTCACATGAATGTAGAAGGTATCATTGGCTAAGCCATCTTAGTGTCTTGACGTGGTCAATCACGAAGGCTCCTCACTTAGCCGTTGGCTCGACCATCGCATTGGCTCCCATTGTTCCAACAGTAGTGCTTTAACAAACTCTTAGCTTAAGGCTTCATGCGTTGCTATAGTTGACTGGACAGACAATAATTGGATCTGCATAGAGGAACAAATACAACGAATAAATTTGGTCTTCATAGTGAGGTCACACAGCGGCGGTGTTAGGAGCCCCGGACACAGACCCCCTTGACACGCACGGCACGCACCATTTCTTCCAACAAAGATGCAGCTGATGTCCAACTCCTTAAATTAGCCAGCTTTACCGTTAATACTACCGAAAATCGCATAAGTTAAGGCTTGGCGACTTAAAGAAGTGGCAAGTATTCCATTGTCTTACAACTGGCAATTACTCGTCACACCAACTAATCACATCCTTTTGTTTTTCTTTGTTTTTTTTTTCGAGGTCATCTAGCGTTTGTGTAGTACAAAAGGTAGTCCAACAAGTCCACTATAGATGAATAGACTGCCCACGTGGGTGCGTAGACAGGAACACAGGGTGGTAGGTCGGTTTCGCGTCGGTCACTGATCAGTCAACCTGTTACTGGGCAAGAAGACGGTGAGGCAAATTGGTGAGGCATATGATTTCGAAGACGCCTTTGTTCAACACTAACAACAGACAGCTGCGCAACATCTCTACCACACGGGCTGGTAGTTTAAAACGGGTAGACTTAAGGAAGGGGGGTGGATGCAAGGCAAGGGAGGAGGGGAAGGGGATTTTCCTTATATTACTTTTTTCGCACGCGATTAACGTCCCTTCAGTGGCCACTGCAATGTCACGGGGCTTCATTTATATTAAGGGGGTTTATTTTGAGGTTATAAAGGGAACAAATAGTGACACATTTGTGCCCTAAGGTCGACGCTCAGACAGCTATCATTAATAAAAATAAACTTGTAATTACTTTTTTTTAAATTAATAATGCCGCCTGTGTGTTAAAAAATCGCATGTACGGGTTGAATGGATCAGCGACAAACATCAGGTCCATTCACTCACAAATTGACTGATAACAAGTTAGTCGCATGGATCAACGTTATTGACGCACTTTTGCCGTCAAATGCCACACTTAACAAAGGAGTTAAGGAGGTAAGCCCATTTATTATGAGTCATGGTAAGATTTTTACTTGCTTTTGGTGACACGCCTTCACAGGTCTAGTAAGTCACCAGCATCACCATCTCTTTGCCAAAATCTGTCCCATTCTTTAAACGCCATTTCTGTCGGCCAATCGTGACTGTTGGATGGTGGAGGCTCTGCTCACCTCCCTCCCCACCGCCCCACCTTCTCCTCTCCCGCCTTCTCTTCTCCATTCTAGAGGAGAAAAGTTAAATTGGTGTTTTATTTTTTTTCTTCATACTCTTAAACAATGGTAACGAGCAGAACAAAGTTCTCCAAGGCGCACCATCACACACATTTCTGAAATAAAACCTCACCTATTATTGAGGTAGTCACAAAGAAAAAAATGTGTCTTTGTGCTATTATAAATCAACATTTGCGTCTTAAATGACAGAAGTGCTCTTCACAATGCTAAATAGCCATGCAAAATTAGAGAAAAATTTTCCAAAATGTGAGTTTAACAAATTTGTCGACGACGTGGGTGAAAATCATCACTGGCTTTTTTGAAAGTGGCAGTAGCTGTTACTATTGTTTCTTCAAAAATTAAAAAAAAAAAACAATTTGCTAACCGGACCCAGAAGAGCGCCTGAATGGGTGGATGACATTCTTGTGGTGACAAGCGAATCCACCCCCCTACGTGATGCCTGCACAAGTGTAAGCGGCCTTCTGAAAGCATAAATATCAAGTCAATTGGTGGTATTTACGAAGCGGATATAAGTATCACCACTTCCTGTACGAACAAGCCGGACCTTATTCACTATCATAGCGCAAAATAACACAAAATAACTCAAATGCATGTAAGTCCACCGGAAGAGGCCTTTAAGTGGCGCCTTTAAGTGATCAAATGCAGTGGATACAGACCGAAGGTCCTCCTAGGCTGACTTCAGGACAGCGCCCCTCTGACACCGACATAACCAGCATGAACGCCTTCCAAGACCTGAAGAACGCTATCCTGGTTAGGTGTTAAGCATAAACCCAAAATATCCTCGTTTTGGCGTTGAGGGGATGATTCTGTGGTCTTAACTTCCAATTCCATAAATGCTGATGATGGGACTAGAGTGGCGGCGTGGGGAAAGCAGTCAATCTGGTGCATGATTTCCCTAATTTCTCACCGTGTTCCGCTATAGTGAACACTGGAAAAAAGATCCAAGCAATAATCCAAGGCGCCGATACACTGCAAGCGACCCAGTCAACCTTTTTAAAATAATTCCAACAGTTTCGACACAAGTGACAGGCGTCAGTGGGGTGGGACACCTCATTCGAGGTGTTTGTACCTCTTAAATGCCTTAGAAATGTCAAAAACGATTCCAAAGTAGAACAATAAACCCTCAAAGGACTTGTAATGATAAAAAGTTGGACTAAAGGGTGGGATAATTAGTTCGATAGCCCCGTTGAAAGGAGAGGACTGGTAATGGGATGGGAAGAAGACCTTCGCGTATTTGCAATCCTCACATTTCGCAGCTAGCATCAGTAAATATAGCACCCAAAACATCGCTTGTTTTCATTTTTAGGGCTAAGAATAAATAAAAATTGTGCTCAAGGCCACTTTTTACGCCACAAGAAAGCAGAAGGGCATGAATATCATCCCACTCCCCCTCAAAAAACCTACCAACATACGTCGACTTGAATACCTCCTTCACCAACCCAAAGGCTTAAGTTCCACCTTCCACCCATTCACAAGGGGGAGGTGTTGATGGAAATTGCATGAAGAAAACGTAGCCTTCAATGCAACACACTTTTGCCGAGAGTAGTACCTCCGTTGGCTTCGATTTCTAATTAAGTTATGTATGAAACAGAACCAAAGAGGGTCCCTCTTGCCAATAATGAGGACCATCTACCCACTTTTAGCGAGATTTTGCTCAACTTCACACTGCAAGTCCTCGCATCGTCAGGGCTGGGTTGCATGGCACATTTTAATTGGTCCACCAAAACGAAGGGCGGTACTACTCGTAACTGTCTCGAAGGCATCGACTGTGGTGCTGCTTTCAAAGCCTCTCGCCAGAGGTGGGATTGAACAAAGGCGAGGTGAAGTAATTGCATCAGGTAACCTCAGGATAGTTGGCTAGATGTTTCACTTGCT